AGCATAGGAACATCCAAGACCCCTTCTCATTGATGATTCCAGCAGGCTTCCTCCTGGACCACTTTTCTAGAAAACATTTTCCCTTTGTTCTTTGCTTGCGGACAGGAACAGCTCTCTCCTTTTCTACCTGCTGTTGCTTCCTCCCTCCTTCTGACACCTTTATCCACAAACCAGCTGCCAGGTGAAAGAGCTCCACTGTTTTTTGCCTTCCCTGGATTCTATAAAACTAGTGCAATGTTTTTATTATTTTCACACCTTTTTTGAGTTTCAGTAATTTTAGCAAACAAGGAAAATATTGCAAAGGTGAAGAAGCTGCACAGACTGAAGAAATCCTTAAAATACAAAAAATAAACGCTGGAGAGGCCAGCAAGAGTCTCCCCCACTGACGGGAGGCCCAGACACTTTTTAAGAGCTTGACCTCAACATTGCTAATTATTAGAGAAATGCAAATCAAAACTGCAATGAGGTTATCACCTCCCACTAGTCAGAATGACCATTATCAAAAAGTCTACAGATAATAAATGCTGGAGAGGGTGTGGAGAAGAGGGAACCCTGGTACACTACTGGTGGGAATGAAACTGGTACAGCCACTATGGAGGACAGTATGGTGGTTCCTTAAAAAACTGGAAGTAGAGCTACCATATGATCCACCAATCCCATTCCTGGGTATATAGCAAAGAAAACCATAATTCGAAAAGATACATGTACCCCAATGTTCATTACAGCATTACTTACAAGAGCCAAGACATGGAAGCAACATAAATGCCCATCGACAGATGAATGGATAAAGATGTGGTACATATATACAATGGAATATTACTCAGTCATAAAAAAGAATGAAATAATGCCATTTGCAGCTACATGGATGGACCTAGTGATTATCATACTAAGTGAAGTAAGTCAGACAGAGAAAGACAAATATCACAAAATATCACTTATATATGGAATCTAAAAAATGATATAATGAACTTATTTACAAAGCAGAAATAGACTCACAGACTTAGGAAACAAACTTACCAAAAGGAAAAGGTTGGGGGGAGGGATAAATTAGGAACTTGGGATTAACAGACACACACTACTATATATACTGTATATAACATCAATAATCAACAAGGACATACTGTATAGCACAAGGAACTCTACTCAGTACTCTGTAATGACCTATGTGGGAAAAGAATCTGAAAAGGAATAGATACATGTATATGTATATCTGAATCACTTTGCTGTACACCTGAAACTAACACAACATTGTAAATCAACTATACTCCAATATAAAATAAATATTAAAAACAAACAAACAAGATAAAAATAAAATTCCAAAATAACTGATCTTCTTGCTAGGGACATAAATGTGGTTCTAGGTCCCTATTACCTGGAGCTCACTATACCCCATTTCCCCTTTTTAATTTTTGCTCAATTTTCTGCCTCCCTAGATGCCCCACCATTCTTTAACAAACACGAGTATATTTCATAACTCGTGTTTAACAAACACGAGTATATTTCATAAAGGAAGCAGCATGCTGTATTCTATAAAACAAGTAATTTGGACAAGTCATAACAGGTGAAACTTTTCTAAGAACAGAGAGGGCAGACCATCAAATCTATCGGGATAGGAAATCAATCTCTCACATTAAGAGAAAATCTCAAATTAAGAGATTTTCCACCTGAAGGCGGAAGACTGGTTGCAACAAAGTTACATTCTGCCCCTTTTGGAGCCTGTTTTTCTGTCACAGTCTAAAGTATTTGAGGTGTTTGGGGCGGGGGGTAAAAAGGAAAGTAGATATTCCACGTCATTTTCTTCCAACTTGGCTTTAAGTGGGTACTCTGGGCTTTATGCCATTTTCAGTAGGAATACTACATAAGAGCCTTCTAGTCGGAGCTCGGTAGAATATATACAATTGGCAAAAGGTCTTACCAAGACTTGCAGAAATTGCTGGATGTGGTGATGTCGCGCTCTCCAGGGCTGGGCCTCGGCCGACGTTCCCGGGGAACCAAGCCGCTCTCCTCATTCTGCCCACGGACCCCTGGCCTCTCCTGCCCGCTCAGCGGTGGTGCGTGGAAGACAGGGGTGCGGAGCCCGGGACCGCCTTTGGTCTCCCGCCCTTGCCTCTCAAGCCGCGGGGACTCTCTAGCCTCGACGCCTCGGTGCGTGTCTCGCGAGAAGCCTCCCCACCCCGGTGGGGGAAGGGCGGGGGTGTCCCGCCGGCGCCGCAGCCGCCGGCGCCGCCGTGCTGCGTGCCCACCTCAGTGCGTGGGCGCGTCTCGCCCCGCTCTCAGCGGTGCCTCTGCAGCGGTCCGGGTCGCCCTTCAGTGGCCCGAGCTGTGGCGTCCCGTGGCCGGCGATGGTGCGTCCGTCGAGCAGCTCTCTCGGGACGTCGAGAGGGTAAGGGAGGCGCGACTGTCCCCGTCTCGTGGGGCAGGTGCCTTGTCGTGGTCGTCCTTGCCGCGTGCGGGGGGAACTGACGTAGCCGGGCGCGCGCCGTGTGTTAGCCTGGGTTGCACGCGGGCATGTGAGCCATCGTGGCGGGCCTGGCGACGCGAGGCAGGCTCGGTCAGACTTTTCAGATCCAGCCCACGCCCACGCCACGGCCCCGCCACGCCCACGCTCCACCACGCCACGCCAAGGCAGACGGAGGAGCCTGAGGCAGCGCAGGCTTTTCACTGCCTTGACGGCGAAGGCGCACGTCAGCCCAGCTGTGACCCATACCGCAGACCCCCAGCCCAGCCGCGAGCTAGCCTCTCTCGAAGTGCCTCCGTGGGTCCGAAGGGGAGACGATGGTGGGGGAAGACGCGCCCTCGGGGAGAAAACCTCTTTTAGCGATCGGGGAGGACCTTGGGGTACCGGACCCCCCAGCCTCCGCGCCTCCAAAGCCCGCTGTGCTGCAGCCTGTGTGCAGAACCTCTCACCCCCGTGTGAGGGGGGCACCGTATTTTTTTTTAAGTTAGACAAAAATTAAAAAGATAATAGAAAAAGAAAAAAAAAGACTTGCCAAAATTAAATGAAATGCATGTCTATTTTGAGAAGAAGCAGAGAATATAGTTATCAATTTGCAGACGGAAAGCTGAAGGTTCCATTACATTGGGTAGTTACCAAAATCAGGATCGGAAATAGTCTCAGTTCAAAGCTACAATCAACCGTGTGTGAAGTTCTTTATTAGATTTAAACATGAATAACTCAAGAAGCAGTTTAACAAAACCTATTTGTTTCAGTTAACTGTTAGTTCAGTATGAGTTAATAGTGTGAGCTAGTAGGTAAGAAAATAAAATCAAACTCAGCATTCATTAAGAGACGTATAGTGAGTAGACCCGGAGTTAGGATGAATCTGGCCTTGAAGGAATGTTCCTCAGATCCCCTTTTAACAGTATATAAGGTTTGCCAGTCCTTTCCAGAGATGTTCATGAATGGGCTCCTTTCCGACTTAGAGATCTGCTTGGATAGATTCTTATCATTCTATATGATTTCAAGGTAGGTGGAAGCCCTTGATGAAATCCAAAGATGATTTTTTTCACTTGATGTCAACAATCCCACTGTCGGTTTCTTTTTCAATACTGATTTTGTTATGCCCATTGTAAAAGTGTTGTTTAACCCAGGAACATTTCCCAACTCTGTAAGAAATGGGAGTGAGTAGACGTTATCAATGTACCATGACAGAATCAATATCTGAAACAGTATCCCCCAGATGAAACGAAAAGACATCAGAAAGTGCTACAAAAAAAAAAAAAGACAAAGTAAATTTTTTCATGTCTTTTTAAAATTTGGAAGACGCATTGTCAGAGAATATTGTAATTCAATCTTTTAAAAAATTTTTTGTTTATTTATTTATTTTTGGCTGCGTTGGGTCTTTGTTGTTGCGCGCGGGCTTTCTCTAGTTGCGGTGAGCGGGGGCTACTCTTCATTGTGGTACGCGGGCTTCTCATTGTGGTGGCTTCTCTTGTTGTGGAGCACGGGCTCTAGGCACGCGGGCTTCAGTAATTGTGGCACGCGGGCTTGCAGGCTCTAGCACGCAGGCTCAGTAGTGGTGGCTCACGGGCTCAGCTGCTCCACGGCACGTGGGATATTCCTGGACCAGGGCTCGAGCCCATGTCCCCTGCATTGGCAGGCGGATTCTTAACCACCGCACCACCAGGGAAGTCCTGTAATTTGATATTTTGCCGTAGCAGTCTGAACAGTTTTAATTTGGGAGTACTTAATTTCTTAGTTTCATGTGTACTGTTCTTCCCCACAACAATTATTAGGAAGTGGTGAAGGCATTCTCCGCTAGGTTTTTACATGTGCTAATCATTACTCTTCGTCCTCTAGGGTAGGTATTATTATTATCCTCATTATACGGGTGAGGAAACTAAGGCTCTGAGAGTTGAAATAGCTTGCTAAAAGTCCAGAGAAAACAAAAAGAGATAAGATTAAACTCATGTCTGAAGAACTCCAATTAGAATACAGCATACCACCTCCTTTATGAAATTCACTCAGATTCTGTTAACAAAGGTGGGGGATCTAGGGAGGAGGAAAATTGAGAAATGCCCCAAAAGGGGAAAAGGGGTATAGTAGGCTTGAAGGAGTAGGGACCTAGAGCCACATCTCTTTTTTATCTTTAACAGGATCAGTTAGTTTGGAAATTTTAATGATTCCCTCAGCCTGTGCAGCTTCTTCACATTTGCAATATTTTCCTTATTTCCCTAAAATTACTAGAATCTCAGTAAAAGGTGTGAAAATAATAAAAACATTGCATTAGTGCTGTAGAAAGAGAGAAACAGGCACCTGGCTTATGAATAAAGGTGTCAGGGGAAAGGAGGCAATAGCAGGTAGAAAAGGAGATACACATTCCTGTCCCCAAACAAAGAACGAAGGGAAAATGTTTTCTAGGAAGTTGGTCCAGGAGGAAGCCTGCTGGAAACATCAGTGAGAAGGGGTCTTGGATGTTCCTATGCTGGGTTCATGGCTCTCAGATTTCAGACTCACAAACACCCAGGATGAGACATGGCACTTAGAAATTGGATGCTGATTATTTCATTGGTAAATTGAAGATGCCTTGTTCCAATGTCATGGCTTCCTGAAGGACTGGTATCTTCATACTCATGCTCTGAAAAGCAAAAAAGAAAGTTCATAGAAGGTTGGCAGGTGGTTTCTAATCCCTGCAGATCACACTGAAAGGAAGTAGGCAAGAGCCCACAATTTTCTCTCTCTCCTTCCACCCTCTCCGGTTTCCTTCCAAATTTCTTTCGGTTTACAGTTTTTATGCACCTAACAGATAATGGGCTCTAAATTGTTGCTTACAAGATAGAAAATGATTCTTCTTAGGTTGCTATTTAAGGTGTTCAAATATATATTTACAGAAATAGTTACTGCAGTCTGTTTTATAGTAGTGAAAAACTGAAACCAGTCTAAATGCCCATTGAAACAGAGCTGGTTAAAGAAATCATGGCACAGCCAGACGATGGAATAGTATACAATTAAAAAGAAAAGCAAAACCAAGACCAAATAGATCCATATAGCTCTGTGAATTGATAAGGATGTTATCTAAGAGGTTTGTTATCTGAAATGAGCAACTTATAGATCTGCATATGAAGAATGATATAACTTGTGGATAAAAAGGTTATATATGTTTATATGGGCATAAATATTTCCAGAGGATGTTCAAAAGAGTTAATTGTGCTGGCTTGTGGGGAAGTAGGATGTGAATGCCTTTAAGAGTTAGCCTCATACTTTTCTGTTCAGTTATTTTTTACCTTGAACATATACTAATTCAAAACGAAATATTTTAAAAGCTAGATAAATTTAGCAGCGTGAAATTAAAGTATCATTTAGTAGGGACACTGGAGCTGAGAAGCCTGGTCAGGTGGAAACTTGAGATGGGAAGTCATTGAGAACACTGCTCTACTTGCTCATTACCAGCCCACTTTAAGACAGGTAATCATTGGGAAAAAGGCAGTTTATGGTCTGTGTTTCTCAAAATCAGAATCGCCTTGGATAACATGTTAAAAATAAAGGATCTTGCTGTTTTATTCCAGAATATCTGAAATCTTTAGAACTGGGGTCCAGGACTATGCAATTACTACATATTTTCAGTTGATTCAGTGACACAGTAAAGTTTGAGACCTGCAGGGGTTAGGGCCCTTGATGGAGAGTGAGCTTGAATCATACCTGTCATTGAATTCCAGATTACTGGGGTGGTGGGCCTTGGGGAGGGCTTTGTGGTCCACGTCCTGGGGATGGTGTTCCCTGATTCTTCCCAGGAGGAGGTGGGGGAGAATGGCGATGACGATGACCTCTTGGTGGGGGTGGTCTCTGCTGAGGTTGACCCTCTTGTAGAAGTGTGTCTCTGCTGAGGTTGACCATCTTGTGCGGGGGGTCCCTGCTGAGGTCCATCACCTTGGTTTTCACCATTAGGAGGGGGTCTAGGTGGTGGCCCTCCAGGTCATCCAGGAGATGGTCTTGGAAACTCCTCAGCTGAGTTTGAGTTGTTTACATCTGTAAGGTATGGCACAAGGATAGAGGAACTAGGTGACGGATGGCTGCCCTCTCATTTTGATCTCTGATGACCTTATCAGAGAGTCTCTTCCTCCAGAACCTGCCTCTCAACTACCAACTTCCTACTCCTTTTTGCAGTACTCCTGTTCACCCACATACTAGTGATATTGAGTCTTAGTTCTTTGCTCTTGAGACAAATATGTGCCTTAAATTTGGCAAAAAAGAAGGTGTTGGGTATCTTAGAATTCCCAGAGGCTGCCTCCTAGGACAGAAGATAGCAAATGGATTATCCATGGAAGTTATGTTGCCAGTTATATTTTGGGTCACTGACATAGCTTGCCAACTGTGATTCCAAATCTGGCCTGTTGAGTGTATATGTGGAACTCTTTGGCTCTAAGAGCAGGTGAAGCAATAATAATAATAAGAGAGAGAGAGAGAGACAGAGAGAGAGGCAAAGTGATGACCCACACAGGATTCACTAAATAACTTTACCAAATTTTAATTAAGCACAGGGACATAGTTGAGAGGAGAAGCACAGAGAAAAAGGAACCATACCTAGTTTCTTTTCATTTTTCCTAAACCACATATTTAAAGAGAAGAACATTGAGGAAGAAGGAAGCAGTTGGTTCTGAGTACACTGGAGGAGTCAGAATGTGGACAGCTTCCCTTGCTGTCCTCTCTCAACAGTCATTTCTGGCCTGAGGGCACTCCTGTGTCATCTAAGCTAGACATCTCTGTACTCAAATTAGGGCCGTGCTCATGGTCCCCAAAATCAAGATTAGAAAAGGATTGCCTAAATCTTTTTTTTTTTTTTTTTTGCGGTACACGGGCCTCTCACTGTTGCGGCCTCTCCCGTTGCGGAGCACAGGTTCCGGACGCGCAGGCTCAGCGGCCATGGCTCACGGACCCAGCTGGTCCGCGGCATGTGGGATCTTCCCAGACCGGGGCACGAACCCGTGTCCCCTGCATCGGCAGGCAGACTCCCAACCAATGCGCCACCAGGGAAGCCCAGGATTGCCTAAATCTTTAGGGGTACTAACTTTAATCAGCTCTTCACAAGAGAATGATGATAATAGGACAACAGAGAACTGAAAAGTTGCTAACGAGAAAAAAGAAAGATGATGGAGGATTAATTGAGCCTTACCTGAAATGAGGTTGAGAAAGCCTTCATTGTTGCCCTCTGGGAAAAGAAGCAGAAGATGAAGTGCAAAGTACATTCCAAAACCTTCAGGGCTCACAACTGTTGTACAGGGAAATGGACACTTCCAGCCACACCCCATATATCCCCTGAGTTATCCCATCAGCCACCATCTGTGATGCTTTTGCAAAGGGAGGAGGATGTGAAGGAGTGGCAGGGTTGCTCTTGTGCTGAGGATCAACTGCAAACTCAAGATACACGAGGCCCTTCTGTTCTCCCTAGGATCCCTTAACCCCAATGCTAATTTAGGTTAAGTGCTGGGGTATTTCAGTGTCATATCTTAGTGTACTTCTGCCCTCTTTCTTCATAAAACACTTTCCTTATATTAACGTGCTTTCTCAAGGTGACAGGACCAGGAGTAACACGTGGATACAATCTTGCCCATTTTGGGCACAGCACATTTATATATTAAATGTGGGTGGGAGTAAAACAAGACCACTAGGCCTCAGAATCTAGGCCTAAATTTAATAAATGCAAATGTAGACACAGAATCTACCATAGGGGGTCCAGGACAGAAGAAATGAATAAATACATAGTTCCTAGAATGGATCATGGATCATGTTATTTTATGTCCCTAAGACTTCTTCCATGCTGCTTCTCTTTTCTAGAATCTTCTGTAAGATTTTGGTTGGGTTTTATTTCTTCTAGAAAGTATTTTTAACCCTCCCCCCCCAGTGATAATATAGAGGCTGCGATTATGCACGCCAATAAGATAGTCTGATACTCCCTTTAAAGCCTCAATTGCATTTCATGGATCTTCTGTTTTTCAATCAGTTTCTGTGCTAGAATCTGTTTTCTCATTTTGTTTTTTAACAGAGGATGTTTTCTCTTCAAAATTCTGGCACTCATATCTCCCCATTCTCTACCTGAATCTTATTTGTTGATATTTTATCTGGAATCAGTTCTCCTTGGTTTTTTTCCCCCTCTTATATCTATCTTTTTTTGCTGTGCATTTTGGAGGAATTCCTTTATTTGATCATCTAAATCAGGCCTTTCTCCTCTTCACTAGCTTGTTGCTTTTATTTCAGATTTGGCAACAAGTATTGTGTTTCCAAAAATTTTTTTTAATTACCTGCATTCTTCTTTTCAGTTAATTATTATGTTATATTTAGTAGTTGTCTGCTTATGTCCGCAGAGCCCAGCCGCTCTGCGGCACGTGGGATCCTCCCGGACCGGGGCATGAACCCGCGTCCCCTGCATCAGCAGGCGGACTCTCAACCACTGCGCCACCAGGGAAGCGCTGCCACTTATTTCAGAACTAGTGTTGGATTTTTGTAATTGTTCAGTTTTTGTGCAGTGAAATTTTATGATGGTGTGTTTGTGTTATCTTAGGGAGAGCCATGTAGCTGGAAATCCTAAAGAACATGTCCTTGACTATTGTGCATGAGTGGGTCACCTGCAATGCATATGAGTGTCTGGGTCTGGGCTTTTCTGAAGGATTGCAGATAATATTACAGGAAGGCTTTCTGATACAGTGGGGTTTGCTACAGATAACTTTGTCACTGCAAGGAGACTGGGCAGATGGGTTTCTTTTCGTGGCATAATTATGGATGTATTCCAGAAAGGGGACTGTATCAACAGTTGGCAATGTGGGAAAGCTATGTGGCAAAGCAGAATAGTTCCAACTGGGCTTTGTGGGAGAAAAAGAGTACTTTCTTGGGATGAACAGGTCCTCTTATGGTATTGGGATGACTTTTTCTGGTTTCCTCAGACAATAATTTGGAAAGGAAAGTGGAGAACAGTCCTGACCAGGTGGCTTTTGGTAAACCTTCAGGTGGGAAAGGAGGGTCAGAGGTAAGGAAGAGAGGGAAGTGGCAGCCGACTTGTGTGTGGGCTGCGGAAGGGGCGGTCCTGCTGGAAGGCGGGCTTCCCTTTGGCTTGGTGAGGACTGGAAGAGAGCAGGTAATTCTTCAAAATATCACTCAGTTCAGGACCTTTCACTAACCTTCTCCAATGTCAACCATGGAGGAAAGAGATTAGTGTGCTATGACAGGATAAATATAAGCTCTGAACTCACCAGGCACAAGGAAAATAGAGGAAATGGAAGAACTGAAAGAGAAGCCTGTCAGTCAGGAAGGGTGGGGTGAGTGCAAAGAACAAGGCCGCAGCAGGAGTTTAGGCACGTGAAAATGAATGGAAGCTCTCAAGCAATGCACTTGCCTCCTAGTATGTATGCTTAAATTAACAGTCCCAAAGAGAATTTCTGATTTCCTTCCTTAAAATCCGCTCTCCCTCAATCTTTTCTCTGTTAACGACAGTTGTTTCAGCCATTTGTTCCAAAATAGGAAGTCATTCTTGACCTCTCACCCCCCCACCACCACCTTGCCCATTAGCAAGTCCAGTTGGCTGGACCTTCAGAATATACCCCCACTATGAGTGCATCCATAATCTCTACCCAAGAATGTAGTCCAGGC